CAGAATTCTAGAGAGAAAAAGTTCAAGTAGCCCCAACAGGATTCGAACCTGCGACCTCCAGCAAGTAACCAATCCAACTGGCGCTCTACCAGCTGAGCTATGAGGCACTTGGGGAACTTGCCTACATAAGTTATTAATGTCGAGTTTTAGCCCTAGGTTTAGGCACACATACATAAGCACAATTATCATACATAGTGTAAATTACTTAGAATAACACCACCCACCCCCCAAATAATCAGACAATATAACTTATTTCCATTGGGGTTCTTATAATAATATTTTTTCCTTGAAACAGCTAAGTAACTCAACTGTGTGAAAATCATTTACAATAAAAGGAGATATATTAGGAATAAGACAAACTGAGTTGTTTACATTAGCAAGAAAGAGAGGATCAGCTTACAGTAATAGGTACATGAATGTTAGCTATACAAGAAATCACTCCTCTATTTCTGTAGCTTCATTCATTAGGTACCTTTCAGTTCTCCTCCTGAACTGGCTCATGCTAGGACAGGCTTTGGCAGGTAAGTTTATTCAGGTACAGGTGCACATAAATACAGTTACATAAATTATCATACATAGCAGCATATGTGTAGATTACCTGGGATAACCCAAAAAACATCGGACTTGTGTAGGTAATCCATTCCACTCCTTTATTGCTGTACAGTACTAGGTGTTTGAAGCCTAACCACCTACTGTGGGTGCTTAAAAAACTGTGTTCACTATACATGTTTTGGTTCCCGACCTTGACAAACTTGGCAGCAAGATATTCTGGACACTAACTGCTTCTGTGGGTACCAAATGAAGATAAGTCACTCTGATTTTTTGGGGTTATCGTAGGTTCTCTACGCATATACTTGTATGTATGATAATCTGTGTAACTGCATTTGTGTATACCTGAATAAACTTAATTAATCGTTTCCCGCACAAGACCCCGCAAGGGACGATGGGGGACCACACAAGCCTACGAAATTGAAAATTTTTCGAAAATACAACTGAGCATTGTCAGGGCAACTTTTTTTTACCAGGGCAAATATTACAAGGAACCCTAATGGAAATATGTCACTCTGTCTCACTTTTTTTTTTTTTTTTTTTTGGGGGGGGGGGGTTATCCTAAGCTATTTACACTATGTATTATAATTGTCCTGGAGGGATTGGCACCAAACCTGCACGCGAAAATCACTCCCTATGAAAGCAAAAGACGGCAGGAGATGCTACATTTCCCCGATGAAAAGCAGGGGCGCCACGAGTACATTGAGAGACAACACAATAAGTGTCCGTGGCCCCAAGACTCTTAAATTCCCTCCCAGCATACATAAGGGGATTACTAAACCCCTGGAAGTCTTCAAGAAGGCACTGGACAGGCACCTAAAGTCAGTACTTGACCAACCGGGCTGTGGTTCGTACGTCAGCTTGCGTGCGGCCAGCAGTAACAGCCTGGTTGATCAGACCCTGATCCACCATGAGGCCTGGTCTCAGACCGGGCTGCGGGGGCGCTGACCCCCGAAACCCTCTTCAGGTAAACTCCAGATATGTGTGCTAATTAGATTTTAGATTTTGCCACCGAAGTGGCCCGGTGGCCTGGTGGCTAAAGCTCCCGCTTCACACACGGAGGGCCCGGGTTCGATTCCCGGCGGGTGGAAACATTCGACACGTTTCCTTACACATGTTGTCCTGTTCACCTAGCAGCAAATAGGTACCTGGGTGTTAGTCGACTGGTGTGGGTCGCATCCTGGGGGACAAGATTAAGGACCCCAATGGAAATAAGTTAGACAGTCCTCGATGACGCACTGACTTTCTTGGGTTATCCTGGGTGGCTAACCCTCCGGGGTTAAAAATCCGAACGAAATCTTATCTTATCTTATCTTAAGTGGCTAGTTTATTGTGCACCCCATATCCATCCTGTGGACGGTAGCGCAAGAAAATATGGATACACAAAAGACCTCGGAACTAGGCATTACACAGTAATTTATGTAAGCATGAATACAGTCACGATAATATTCAGTGTAGCTTATATAGAGTTTTGAATTATTTATATTAGTTTATATTTTAGCAATGTGACCGAAATGCACCGCATGCTAGTGGTGCTTTTGTGCTTAACAATATTTTATTACATGTAAACTGCAGTTTGTATACTGCAGAAATAAGTTGTTTGTTTGCTTGTCTAATGGAAATAAGTTACATGAGTAGGCTTTCTTGAGTTATCCTATTTTGTGTAGTCTGCCTGAGCGGCTGATTTATGTGTGTGTGTGTACTCACCTAATTGTACTCATCTAATTGTGGTTGGAGGGATCGAGACTCAGCTCCTGGCCCCGCCTCTTCACCGACGCTACTAGGTCCTCTCTCCCCCTGCTCCATGAGCTTTATCATACCTCGTCTTAAAACTATATATAGTTCCTGCCTCCACTACATCGCTTGCCAGACTATTCTACTTCCTAACTACTCTATGACTGAAGAAATACTTCCTAAGATCCCTTTGACTCATCTGAGTCTTCAGCTTCCAATTGTGACCCCTTGTTTCTGTGTCCCATCTCTGGAACATCCTGTCTCTGTCCACCTTGTCTATTCCACGCAGTATTTTGTATGTCGTTATCATGTCTCCCCTGACCCTCCTGTCCTAAGTGTTGCCAGACCAACTTCCCTTAACCTTTCTTCATAGGACATTCCCCTTAGCTCTGGAACTAGCCTTGTTGCAAACCTTTGCACTTTCTCTAATTTCTTGACGTGTGTGACCAGGTGTGGGTTCCAGACTGGTGCTGCGTACTCCAGTATGGGCCTGACGTACACAGTGTATAAAGTCTTGAACGATTCCTTACTGAGGTGCCGGAACGCTATTCTCAGGTTTGCCAAGCGCCCATATGCCGCAGCAGTTATCTGGTTAATGTGTGCTTCTCGCGATGTACTCGGTATTATACTCACTCCTAGGTCTTTCTCCTTGAGTGAGGTTTGCAGCCTTTGGCCACCTAGCCTATACTCTGTCTGCAGTCTTCTTTGCCCTCCTCCGATCTTCATGACTTTGCATTTGGCGGGGTTAAATTCTAGGAGCCAGTTTCTGGACCACACGTCCAGCCTGTCCAGGTCTCTTTGTAGACCTGTCTGGTCCGCGTCTGATTTAATTCTCCTCATTACTATGTGTGGTGTGTGTGTGTGTGTGTGTGTGTGTGTGTGTGTGTGTGTGTGTGTGTGTGTGTGTGTGTGTGTGTGTGTGTGTGTGTACTCACCTAATTGTTGCAGGGGTCGAGACTCAGCTCCTGACCCCGCCTCTTCGTGTGTGTGTGTATCTATCTATATATATATACTATATATAATATATATATATATATATTATATATATATATATATATATATATATATATAATATATATATATATATATATATATATATATATATTATATTATATGTCGTGCCGAATATGTAAAACTGGTCAATTAGCAAGAACTCATTTAAATTAAGTTCTTTCTAAAATTTTCTTTTATACGTTTAAAGATATATTTTTTTTAATTAATGTTAATATAAAAATTTTTAATTTTGCACCAAAAGAATCTTAGAAAACTTACCTAACCTTATTATAACAAGAACAATTTATTTTAGCCTAACCCAACTAAATATATTTTAAATACGTTTACAGTAATTTAATACTAAACAAACACAATCAAATATATTTTTTTCGTTAGGTTCAGAAAGATTTTGGCGAAATTATTGCATACACAAATTTTCACTTGTCCTATATGGCAAGATGAGCGTTGCTATTTAAGCCAAGATCGCAAGTTCTGCCTATTCGGCACGACATATATATATTATATATATATATATATATATATATATATATATATAATATATATATATATATATATATATATATATATATATATTTATTTTGGCAAAACTCGCCATGACCTGGCTAACATATAAAACATTATCATAATTTATAACAAATAATTGATTTTTTTTTTTTTTTTTAAATTAATCCATGTTAAACGCTAAACCCAAGTGAGTCATTCAGCGCAAGACGTGTTGGAGGCTCGATCCTCCGTCTGGTGAGCGCCAGACAGACGCGCTTCCTATTTGTACTAATAATTGAATGCAAAAGGTACATAGATATTTTAAATGAACACAGCACGTTATGATTTAAGCTATATACCTAAATATAACTAGCCCATAAATGTAAAATACTAATATGGTTAGAATTATAATCTTAATTTTTAAAGAGATAGATCGATAAGCCAAAGGCCTCGGTCAGATGACCAAAAACTCCAGCTGCTGGTCATCATATGACTAAGACCCGCCTCAGGAAGCAACTGTCCTGTTTCCTGACAAACCTAGACTAACCCTTAAATGTAAAAGGAACATAAATACTTTAAATGAACATTGTCCACCCAAAGTTTTATGTTTTAATGATTAACAACTAAGGATTTATATAAAGGTATTTTCACTTACTCGAGACTCATTGGCCAAAGAAAATCTGCATTATCATCACTCTTTACACTGAGTACAGGAGATGGAATTAATAAAGTAAGACAGATCTGGTTTTAATGACACACATTATTCGCTATTCAGCGGTCTATCAACATCGGGAGTTATCTGTTAATGGTTCTGGGAATATCTTCCCCACCGCCAGGTCTCAGACCAGGCCTTGATTAGTATTTATGACACCATCTGGCCACTGTGGGGAAAGTACTAAAGGGATAGTCACAGATGACTTAAAATCCACGTTTTTAATTGGACCACCCATATCTGAAAAATATTTTCCAACATGAATTTGGTTTTCCCTTCCTCAATCTGGGAACCTTGTGACACTGAGCACAACTCTATGAGTACAGCTTGGTGAGTATAGCTAAGCGAGTGTAGTTAGGTGAGTACACACACATAGCAACCTAGAAGAAGCGATATGTTTATCAATATCTTATCTGCTTGTTCTATGACGACATATAAAAAAACACATTTATCTCAGCAGGCAACACGAAAGTCTAGTTTGAAACTCTTTGTTCACTTACCTCAACAGGCTGCAGGGACACCGTCTCACCACTGCTTTATTTACCATTGTTCGAGACAGCTGGAACTATGGCGCTGGTGAGAATTAACAAGGCAAGTATGTTTACGGTGTCGACATTATTTTATTATTATTTTTTATTATTATTATTCAAAGCAGTAGTAGTACAATTATTACTACTACTATCATTGTCATTAGTAAATAATTTGCATTAACCTTGGTGACAGGACCTGCAGGAGATGGCCACCTCTCCTCCTCCCAATTGCTCAGCGGGGCCGGTGGGCACTGACATCTTCCATTGTAAAGGGTCCATCGTGGGTCCCAAGGGCACGCCCTTCGAGAGTGGAGTGTTTGAGCTGTTAATCACCTTTCCCGAAGACTACCCCTTCAATCCTCCTAAGGTATGTGATAATTCTTGTGTCATGCATGTGGACGTGATGTCATGTCTGAGACCCAGATGTCATGTTTGTGGACCTCATATAATTATTATTATTATAATCATAGCTAAGCGCTAAACCCACTAGGGTCATACAGAGCTTACCTGATGTAATGGTTGTAGTCCCGACATCGTTGTTTCTCTGATATCATGTTTGTGATCACGATGTTATGTTTGTGGATCCGTTGGTAGCGTCCTCAGCTCTCACACTGAGGGCCCTGGATCGATTCTTGGCATGGGTGAAACGTTTGGGCATTCTTCCTTACACCTGCTGTCCCTGTAGACCTAGTTTTAGATAGATACCTGGTTGTTAGCCGACTGTTGGGGGTTGCATCCTGGAGTACAGGATCAACCTAAGTTGGCCGAAATGCTCTATATCGTGTGTCAGTAACAGTTGTATTATATACTTATAGAAATCATTATTAGTTATTTTTATTAATCGTCTGGGTGAATGGGAAACAATCAGGTTTGAGCCAAGGGAATGGAAGGACAAGTCCAGTTCCTTGGATCAAGAGCCCTTCACCGGTATGAGGGCACCTCTCTTGAGGGGTACATATACTATCACCAGCGTCTTTATTTCAATACATGTATCTTCTACACTTTATACTTTTCCGTAATATATCACCCAGTAATCTGTATAACCAATTTGTATCCACAAATCTATCCTGTATCAATACCAAAATCACAGGAAATATGCACCATGAGATGTATATTTCTCACCAGGGGCGACGTACGGGGGGCTGGGGGGCGGGCCGCCCCGGGTGACACCATTTAGGGGGTGACACCATAGAGCCTCTCAAGAAGGTGACACTAATGCCAAAAACAGTGCTGCACCAACATGAGAGAAGATTCCTTCATTTCTATATAGCCTATTATATATTAACAAAGTACAAATAAGCCTATATAGGGAAAATCATTGATTTTGATGATGTGATAGATGATTTTGCGTAATTGAAGGCAAGGAAATGTAAGATCAGATTCACTGAGATGTTACCTGTACTCAACGTCAAATCGGAACTAGTGTTTCTCTGATATTGCAATTTTTTTTTTTTTTGGCATTGTTGAAGATGAATAAATGTATTATCTGTTGCCTGTACTCAAAGTGGCATTTGAGTTTATGTTCCCTCAATATTACTACGGTTATTTATATTGTCATTAATAAAGTTGAGAAGTATTCTCTTGTTCAGTTTATGACCCTTAAACGTTCTCATTGCTAAACATTTGTCACTGATCATGCACTAGAGACGTAACTGGAGTTTACCCCTCCCACCATCCCCCTGCCCTTGAATTTCATGGGGGTGACACCAAAGATGCTGCCCGGGTGACACCAGAGATTCTGCCCCAGGTGACACCAACTCTAGCGACGCCTCTGTTTCTCACTGTATACATACAGTAAAGAGTTTACTGTAATCCCTATTTTAGGAATTAAAGTGAACAGGTAACATTCATCCTTACTAACCTTCCTGTATTATTACTATTATTATTATTATTATTATTATTATTATTATTATTATTATTATTATTATTATTATTGTTGTTGTTGTTGTTGTTGTTATTATAATCAAACCAAAAGCTAAACCCACCAGGGTCATACAGTGCTGTCTCCTATAGTAGACAGGCTTAAACTCCATTAACCAACTAATCTATTCACAAAATAATTTGGTGTAACGTCATATTAAAGGAGAATGAAATTATCATGGAGATTTTACTTACATATCTGATGTATTTTCAGATGAAACTATTGACAAAAATTTATCACCCGAATATTGGTAAAGACGGAACAATCTGCTTAGACATATTAAAGGGCAAGTGGAGTCCGGCTTTATCCTTATCGAAAGGTAATTTTATTATTATAGAATTATTATTATTATTATAATATTATTGGTATAGTGATCGCCTGTACTCACCTAACTGTGATTGCTCCTGGCCCCGGCTCTCTGCTGGCCTCTACTGGGTTAACTCTCCTGGTTGCATGAGCCGTCATACTTATTCTTAAAGCTATGTAAAGATTCTGCCTCTAGCACTTCGCTGTCTAATAAGTCGTTCCACTTCCTGACCACTCTAAGGCTAACATCCCTGTGACTCTATCAGTGTTTTAACTTCCATCTGTGACCTCATGTACCGGAGATTCGCCGCCCAAACAGACTTTCCCTGTCCAGCCTGCCCTCTTATGTCGTTAGGTTTAGCTCCTTAAACTTCTCTTCACAAGACATTCTCCTCATCTCTGGGACTAGTCTCATCGCAAGCCTTTGCACTTTTTCCAACTCTTCTTCTCTTCTTCTAATGACCAAAGCTTTGGTAAGATGGGTAAGGAAGAAGGATGGGTAAGTATGGAAATATTGGAAAAAGGTGGGAGGGGGGGGAGAGGTAGGATATAAAAGGTAAGTGGCCCAACCACTTTGGTGTAATTTAAAAAGTGTATGTGGATTGATAAGATATTCTTTAAGGGGTATAATACTAACCCATCAGAGTCACATAGATATAATAGGTATATAAGTACATGACTCTGAATTGGTAGTAATTATACAAGTTGCAATTGCTTTTTTTTTTTTTTTTTTTTTTTTTTTTTTTTTTTTTTTTTTTCGCAATTGCACAACGGATATTTATACGACAAGAAAAACAATAATTTTCTGGCAAGTTTATAAGTTCGTGACAATAGCTTCTTAATGGTGGTGTCCAACATAGTCAATAGCATAATTTTACATTAGAAAGTTATTTAAGATGTCTCCCTAATTGGGGGCGATGATTTTCTCAGTGTACATAGAAAGGTTCTGGTAGTATCCAATCTTCTTCATCAGGTAAGTTGCTCAAAATCACGGGTCGAGGGTAATCATCTTTATGAATAAAACGACGAACCCTCTGTGGGAGAGTCATTCTTTGAGTCCTGTGAGGCGGAGTATGATGGTGTAATCGGTGGTATTTATCACTTGTATAGGATGTTCTCTATCTGGCATGTATAGTTCTTGCATTGTATAAAGTTGTTTCTTTTTTAGGGTGTCAAGGCGTACATTTATAGCAGTAATATCTTGTTGTGTGTGTAAATCTGCCATTTTAACTCTGTCTCTCCTCCTGGTATCGGTAATAAAGCGAAGAGCTCTATTCTGGACCCTTTGTAACCGTAGCATGTTGGTCTTTGTTGTTAATGACATTGGGACACAAGGGTATTCGAGTATAGGTCTTATTATCATTTTATACAGATGTTTTTTGACATGTTGAGGGGCTTGATTGAATCGAAAGAGTCTGCTAAGACCGGCTTTGGCTGTGTTGATCTTTTTAGTTACATGAGCTGTTGAGTGGAGCAGCCTGTCTATTTCATATCCCAAGATCTTGTTAGGGTTTCTAATGGCTACAGGTGTACCTCTGATGGAGATACCCCCTTTATCTTCGATGGTTGATGCAAAACATCCTATCGTGCTAACAAGGACCTTGTCAGGATTAGTCGTAATTCTCCATTTCTTCTCCCAATTAGATGTTCGACGAAGTTCAATATTCATTTTTTCTATGACTCTCTCATACTTGTATTTTCCTGTTACTGGAGTTGATGAGACGACATGAATAACATCATCTGCAAACTGTGTCACAATTGTGTCATTAAACTCTGGTTGAGGAAGGTCATTCACATAAATGTTAAACAGAAGTGGACTGAGACAAGAACCTTGTGGGACACCAGCTGTCGGTATAAAAGGTTCTGTCGACTTGCTATGAAAGGTGGGAATGATTTTTCTTTGAGTTAAGAAATTATAAATTACTCTGAGAAAAGTCCAGTTATGGTCTGGTAGGTCAATGAGTTTGTATATAAGGCCATCATGCCATAAGCTATCAAAAGCTTTATGAACATCTCTGGTGGCAATTAAGGCAAGATTGCCCTGCTGTTTTAGACTTGCTAGTGTCAAAAATAACATTTATTGCATGATTGGTACCTCTATGTGTTCTAAAGCCAAATTGTTTTTCAGTAAACAAGTGATTAAACTCCATATAGTAGTTCAATCTGTTGGAAATGACTTTCTCAAGAACTTTTCCAGTGACTTCAAGTAAAGATATAGGTCTATAGTTCCCAGGTTGGTGGATGTCTTTATTGGGCTTAGCAAGAAAGATCATCCTAGCAGTCTTAAAAACAACTGGAAAATGTCCTGAGGCCAAGATGGCATTAAAGATATTTACCAAGGACTGTTTGCAATTTCTAGGTAGGTACTTTATTTGTTTCATTGTTATTCCAGAGAGGCCAGGGGCTCTATTTCTCATTCTTCCAATAACCTGACTTAATTCTAGTAATGTAATAGGTCTAGTAAGCGGGTGGGTATCTTCAAGAGTTGAAGTATCGATGGTAGGTAGTGGTTGTAGATCATCCAAGTTCTCATCTCTCCAACCATCTCTCCATCTTTCCAACTCTTTATATGTTTTACAGAGGTAAGTTCAATACCGGCGTTGCATACTCCAAGATGGGCCAATATATGTTGTGTATGGAAAACAAGCACAGGGGGAGTTGAATGATAGCTGTAGGCCTTTCGTGATGCAATCAACACATCATCAGGAGCTTACAGTGTAGTAGAAATGAATAGGAAGTAGGCCAAGGAGTTTCGTTCAGGTGAAACAATTCTAGCTCGGACTTCATAAGCATTTCTGTAACATTGCAAGTTCCTGATTATTTATTGATTGCAACATGAAGGGCCCAGAGCTATCATTCAACTCCCCCTGTACTTGTTTTGATCTTGTATCGCTTGTTCGCGATTATTGCGTATTGTGTATGTTGTAGGTACACTAAAATCATGCATATAGACCTCCTAAACGGGGTTTAAAATAAATTCCGGGTTTATTCACACAGAACATTAAGACTAACATGAGATCCGGTGGTTTCTATTTCTCACTACCCCCCCCCTCCCACACACATTCACACACCATGAGTATGGGGGGGGGGGTTCAAAATATAGTAATCATAATTGACCTCAATAACATACTCGTCCACAGCGGTTTTTTGTCTATTCGACTGAAGAAAAATTTTCTTTTCCCAGTATTACAGATAGTATGTGCTCTACTCAATGATCCAAATCCAAAGAGCTCCCTGAGGAGTGACATAGCTGACATCTACTTGAATAACAAGACTAAATACATGGCGACTGCCAAGGAGTGGACCAAGCGCTACGCTATGTAGGTTTAAAAGTTAAGCTATGTAGGCTATTGATTACATGTTATGGGGTGAGACTTACATTATGTAGGATATTGGTTACGCTATGTAAGGTAAGACTTACACCATGTAGGCTATTAATTTACGCTTTGTAGGCTTGAAATGATGAATAATGATTTAAGACTAAAGTAATGCTTGTAAGTCAACTTTTGAAGGCTCTGTCAAGACTTTAATAATACTTCGTATAGCCTCAAGTGGTGAAACCTTGAATAAATAAAATGTTCGTTGCTATAACTTTTTTTAGTACCATTTACAACAGACTTGTCCATGGCTGGCCAACATTTTTTTGAGAGCATCTGCCAAAATTATGATGAGGCTGATTTGTGGTGAAACGTTGGACAATGAAGATTGCTCTTCAGTGTCAGGCTTGCCATACGATAGAGCTTTGCCATTTTTCTGGAACTCCAGGCATACCTGTCACCAGGCTGTGAGCAAGCTGCAGATGTAAGCGGAAAACAGGCCAATATAGCATCCCAACCTGGCTGATCTGGCATTTGTAGAAGGTAGTGGTCTAGTTCCTTATTGAAAACTTCTGCCTGTCTTCCGGTCAAATTTGGTAAATCTTTTACTTTATTTTGTGAAGTGAATTTAGGATATGCAAGTACTAGTATTATATATATATATATATAAATAATATATATATATATATATATATATATATATAATAATATATATAGTATATATATAAATATAATATATAAAAATATTAATAAGGTATATAATGTATATATGATATATATATATATATATATTTAATATATACATGAATAGAGAAATACCATGGCTTTTTGACTACTCACATTTATCAAGGCAAAGTAATGTGATTATGGGAGTAGGCACGTAAAGCTTTTTCTCTTTCTTTCACGTGGTTGTTTGTGAAATTAATATATATCATATACACAAGATTCGCGAGAGGCGAAATATACACAAACCTGATCTCCCGGCTGAAGAGACTCGAACCTAGACCTTGGACAAACACGTGTACCAACTACCCACAAGGACAATACCTTGGCGTTGGTAGCTTGCAGTACACTTTGTCCAAGGTCAGGTCAGTTTTCAGCAGAGAAGGCTTACAGGGATTTTCATCTCATCCCCTGCAGCCAGCTTTCAGGGGAAGACTTACAGCTGTAAGCCTTCTCCCTGAAAGCTGGCTGCCTTGGATCAAACGTGTAGCGCAAGCTACACGCCAAGGTATTGTCCAGTGTGGGATAGATTGGTAAAGCACTGCGTACCTTGTCCTAAGGTTCGTAGGTTCGAGTCTCCTTCAGCCAGAGATCAGTGTTTGTGTATATTTCGCCTGCTCTCGCGAATTCCTTGCATTGTTAAAATCTCTAGTAAGGCTGATGCATGCAGGGGATGAGATGGAAAGCTGTAAGCCTTCTCCCTGAAAGCTGGCTGCCTTGGATCAAACGTGTAACGCAAGCTACACTCCAAGGTATTCTCCAGTGTGGGTAGATTGGTAAAGCATTGCGTTCCTTGTCCTAAGGTTCGTAGGTTCGAGTCTCCTTCAGCCAGAGATCAGTGTTTGTGTATATTTCGCCTGCTCTCGCGAATTCCTTGCATTGTTAAAACTCTAGTAAGGCTGAATGCATGCAGGGGATGAGATGAAAAGCTGTAAGCCTTCTCCCTGAAAGTGGCTCCCTTGATCAAACGTTAGCGCAAGCTACACGCCAAGGATTGTCCAGTGTGGGTAGTTTGGTAAAGCACTGCGTACCTTGTTCTAAGGTTCGTAGGTTCGAGTTCCTTCACCCAGAGAGTCAGTGTTTTGTATATATAATATTATATATATAATAAAATTAAAATTTATATATATTTATATATTTTTATATTATATTTATATATTATATTTTATATTATATATATTATTTATATTAATATATATATTATTTAATATTATTTTATAAAAATATATTAAAATATAAAATTATATATATATATTTTTTATATATATATATAATAATTATATATATATATATAATATATATATATTATAATTTAATTTTAGTATATATTAATATATTAATAATATATAATATATATATATATATATATTATAAAAATATATTTTAATATATATATATATATATAAAAATTATATATTATATATATAATATATAAATATATATATATTTTTTTTTTTCAACAAGTGTCGTCTCCCACCGAGGCAGGGTGACCCAAAAAAAGAAAGAAAACCCCCAAAAAGAAATACTTCATCATCATTAAAACACTTTCCCCACACTCACACATTATCACTGCTTTTGCAGAGGTGTTCAAAATACAACAGTTTAGAAGCATATACGTATAAAGATACACAACATATCCCCCCAAAACTGCCAATACCCCAAACTCCCCCTTTTAAAAGGCGGCATTGACTTCCTTTTTCCAATCAAGCCCGTATATGAAAAAAACCCGGTTTCTCTGAACCCCTTCAAAAATATTCCCCTGCTCAACTCACAGATCGTCAGGGCCCAAGTACATTGTTTCCCTTCACTCCAATCTAACACGTATGCCGCTTGCTGTAAGTCCAAGCCCCCCGCCCACAAAACCTCCTTTTCCCCCCCGTTCCAACCCTTTCGAGGGCCCCCTCCCCCCCTTTCCCTTCCCCCATAGATTTATATGCTTTCCATGATTCTACTTTGATCCATTCTCTCTAAATGACCAAACCACCTCAACAACCCCTCTTCTGCCCTCTGACTAATGCTTTTATTAACTCCAAACCTTCTAATTTCCACACTCCGAATTTTCTGCATAATATTTACACCACACATTGCCCTTAGACAGGACATCTCACTGCCTCCAACCGTCTCCTCGCTGCTGCATTTACCACCCAAGCTTCACATCCATATAAGAGTGTTGGTACTACTATACTTTCATACATTCCCTTCTTTGCCTCCATAGATAACGTTTTTTGACTCCACATATACCTCAAACGCACCACTCACCTTTTTTCCTCATCAATTCTATGATTAACCTCATCCTTCATAAATCCATCCGCCGACACGTCAACTCCCAAGTATCTGAAAACATCACTTCTTCCATACTCCTCCTCCCCAATTTGATATCCAATTTTCTTTATCTAAATCATTTGATGCCCTCATCACCTTACTCTTTTCTATGTTCACTTTCAACTTTCTACCTTTACACACATTCTCAAACTCATCCACTAACCTTTGCAATTTTTCTTTAGAATCTCCCATAAGCACAATATCATCTGCAAAAAGTAACTGTCAATTCCCATTTTGAATTTGATTCCCCATAATTTAATCCCACCCCTCTCCCGAACACCCTAGCATTTACTTCTTTTACAACCCCATCTATAAATATATTAAACAACCATGGTGACATTACACATCCCTGTCTAAGACCTACTTTTACCGGGAAGTATTCTCCCTCTCTTCTACACACCCTAACCTGAGTCTCACTATCCTCATAAAAGCTCTTTACAGCATTTAGTAACTTACCACCTATTCCATAAACTTGCAACATCTGCCACATTGCTCCTCTATCCACTCTATCATATGCTTTTCTAAATCCATAAATGCATTAAAAACTTCCCTACCTTTATCTAAATACTGTTCAAATATATGCTTCAATGTAAACACTTGATCTGCACATCCCCTACCCACTCTGAAGCCTCCTTGCTCATCCGTAATTCTACATTCTGTCTTACCTCTAATTCTTTCAATTATACTCTACCGTATACTTTTCCTGGTATACTCAGTAAACTTATTCCTATATAATTTTTACAATCTCTTTTGTCCCCTTTCCCTTTATATAAAGGGACTATACATGCTCTCCGCCAATCCCTAGGTACCTTCCCCTCTTTCATACATTTATTAAACAAAAGTACCAACCACTCCAACACTATATCCCCCCCTGCTTTTAACATTTCTGTCATGATCCCATCAGTTCCAGCTGCTTTACCCCCTTTCATTCTACGTAATGCCTCACGTACCCCCACCACACTTACATTTCGCTCTTCTTCACTCCTAAAAGATGGTATACCCCTGGCCAGTGCATGAAATTACCGCCTCCCTTTCTCCTCAACATTTAAAAGTTCCCTCAAAATATTCTCGCCATCTACCTAATACCTCCCTCTCCCCATCTACTAACTCCCCTACTCTGTTTTTAATGGACAAATCCATACTTTCCCTAGGCTTTCTTAACTTGTTTAACTCACTCCAAAATTTTTTCTTATTTTCATTAAAATTTCTTGACAGTGCCTCTCCCACTCTTTCATCTGCTCTCCTTTTGCACTCTCTCACCACTCTCTTCACCTTTCTTTACTCTCCATATACTCTGCTCTTCTTATAACACTTCTGCTTTGTAAAAACCTCTCGTAAGCTACCTTTTTCTCTTTTATCACACCCTTTACTTCATCATTCCACCAATCACTCCTTTTTCCCTCCTGCCCCCACCCTCCTATAACCACAAACTTCTGCCCCACATTCTAATACTGCATTTTTAAAACTATTCCAACCCTCTTCAACCCCCCACTACTCATCTTTGCACTAGCCCACCTTTCTGCCAATAGTCGCTTATATCTCGCCTGAACTTCCTCCTCCCTTAGTTTATACACTTTCACCTCCCTCTTACTTGTTGTTGCCACCTTCCTCTTTTCCCATCTACCTCTTACTCTAACTGTAGCTACAACTAAATAATGATCTGGGCATATCAGTTGCCCCTCTATAAACATGTACATCCTGGAGCCTACCCATCAACCTTTTATCCACCAATACATAATCTAACAAACTACTTTCATTACGTGCTACATCATACCTTGTATATTTATTTATCCTCTTTTTCATAAAATATGTATTACTTATTACCCAAATCTCTTTCTACACATAGCTCAATTAAAGGCTCCCCATTTACATTTACCCCTGGCACCCCAAATTTACCTACTACTCCCTCCATAACATTTTTACCCACTTTAGCATTGAAATCCCCAACCACCATTACTCTCACATTTGATTCAAAACTCCCACGCATTCACTCAACATTTCCCAGAAATCTCTCTCTCTCTCTCTACACTTCTTTCTTCTCCAGGTGCATACACGCTTACTATAAGCCACTTTTCACATCCAATCTTTATTTTACTCCACATAATCCTTGAATTTATGCATTTGTAGTCCCTCTTTTCCTGCCATAGCTTATCCTTCAACATTATTGCTACTCCTTCTTTAGCTCTAACTCTATTTGAAACCCCTGACCTAATCCCAGTTATTCCTCTC